CTGGCCAGCAAGAATCCCACATGGCGGGGCAGACCTCTCCTGTCTCCCCACTGCTCCCCTCAACAGTGTATCAGTCAGTCTGCCTGTTAGGTTGCCGGCTCTGTCTCTGGTGAATCCTCTCACTCTCCCATGCATCTGGCCTGTACCTGGGCTTTCGTATAAATAAATAAATCTTTAAAAAATAAATAAATGAAAATAAGAGCAAAGAGGACCTCCCCCGTGGCGCAGCGGGTTGAGCACAGCACTGTGAAGCTGTCCCCAGCCTCTGCAGCACGGGTTCGATTCCCAGCCAGCCAGGGAGATTCCCATGTGGCGCAGCAGACTCCTGTTCCGCCCAGTGCTCCCCTCAGCAGTGCTTTCAGTCCATCTGCCTGTTCTGCTCCCCACTCTGTCTCTGGTGAATCCTTTCACCCTCCCGTGCCTCTGGCCTGTACCCCAGCTATTTTATAAATAAAAAAATAAGTCTTTAAAAAAAAAGATATGACGAAGAAACAAGAAAATAGCACGTAATTGTGTTTTTGCTTATACAGATGAATAAGTTACTGCTGAAAACAAGTTTTCCTGGTTAGTAGGGAACACACGCAGAAGCCAGCACGTCCTCAGAGAACAGGAGTCAGTTCTGGGAAGAAGTTCTGTTTGCAGAACTTGTAACATCCTAGGACTCCTTATGCAGAGTGAATAGGTGCTCTCCAAAAACACCAGCTCCCTGTGTTAGGGGGAAAGGATGTCCTGAGTTAATCCCATACAGGCTTTGTGGACCCCACCCCCACTCCAGACTAAAGCCATCAGGACACTGGGAAAGACAAATCCTATCACCACCAAAGGGAGGGTGGCTGGGACCTGAGGGTGGAGTTGGGCAGCCAGGTAGGATATAAAAACCAAACACTTGGGCCTTGGGCTCTCTCTGGCTCGCGATCGCTCGCCTCCTGGCTTCACCGCTCCTGGCTGGCGGCCAACTCTGAGAGCGCCATTTTGGGATTCCTGATCGGCGGATCGGGTAGGACTCATTTAAAACTTTGTCTCCCACTTTTCTCCCAGAGCTGTACATTTCCTCATTTCCCCTTCCCTTGTAAATAAACCTTTTATTAACCTTTTACGTGTGCCTGCAGTAGAGCATTGATAAGTCCTTTTAAGCGCGCGGGTGAGGACCCACAGTCAGGCACCCCGTTTTGTATCGGGGTTGCTCTACAACACCTGCAGGGCAGCAGCTCCCTACAGCAGCCCATCTCACACTGGGATTGCCTGTAAGAGTCCCAGCTCCTGCTGCCTGTGCTGGAGTTAAGGGCATGGTGCATCCAAGCCAGGTGTGCACATCTGCACATTTGCTTGGTGATTTCTGGGGGAGCTTGGCCTGTTAAATTACTAATGACTGGGATCCTTGTTCCATGTTGACAGTGGTATTGCCTCAGCATTGTTGCTTTTCTGGTCACTTTCTACTGTTTAAAATTTGTTCTGAGCTCACTGTATCGGCTCTACTCTCAATACTTGGTAGAAAGTAGGTAGGTATTAGTGGGCACATAAAGTTCAGCTGCTGTGTTGCCTGGAGTTTGTGTGATGGGGTAGGATGCTGGGGCTTGGAATTCATCCCACGTTTCCACTTCAGTGACATAAAGTTCACAATATTCCTTCAAGACAAAAACAACGAAAATGTCTGTTTCATTGGTGTCTCGGCTTAATATCTTACAGTCTGTTGACCCCTGTTCTTTTTCTTTTGCTCCACCCTACTCCAAAGGGGTATGTTTAAACAAACTGCTCATTGTCAGCTCCCCTGTGGTGCTGGGTGAACCCTTTCCCGGTTAGTACATCTGGACCCCACAGGCCAGTGTCATTTAACATAGTGCATTTTCCTAAGGCAGACTCCTCTTTTGTTCATTATTTGCAAGAATCACATTGTTGCACAGACCTTTTTGCTCTGTTCCAGGGCTGTGCAGCCTGTTCTCTGAGTGTCTCTGAGTAAATGTGTTGGGCGTTGCAGGTCTCAGGCCCACTCTTGCTTGGGGTTTTGGTGTTTTGTCTTACCAGCCTTCCACATGTAGAAATTGTACTTAGCTTGCAAAGCTGGACAGGTAATTGTTCTTGGCTTGCAAAGCTGGACAGGCTCTGGGAACACTTGCTGTTTGCTCCTTGTTGGAGTAGATGGTGCCGCCGACCAGCACAGCAGTAGACGATGAGGCCGTCTCAGGGTTGAGAGACTGCGCAGGGTGGTCAGGGATTCGGCAAATAAATGACAAACAGACACACTTCAAGAGAGTGAAAATCTGAGTGTAATTTTCTTTGAGTTTGTGACCAGTATATATATGTTTTCTAAAAGCATAGGAACAATGAATATCAATGAAATCAGCTTGCTCATGGGTTTAGCTTATCACTGACAGGGCAGTGATTTACATCTGGACCTAGCTGCATTCTTAAGTAGATAAACCATTAGTTTTGTTTTTAAACTATATAATCGCATTTTTTGTTTTACTAACTACTTTTCACCTAAACTATATTTTAATTATTACAGGGTTTAGTAATGTTTCATTTGAGTCAGCCTTGTGTTAAGGATTTCATATGATTTTTTAATTAACAACCAATGACCTTTATAGAAGAAAGAAGGAAGTTTAGAAAGACAATAAGGGAATAAAGTTTGTAGTTCTAGAAAGACGAGATAAGGTTTTTTGTAGTAGCATTCTTGCAGTGGTTCCTGGTGGTCGTTATCTTTTGATAAGCATCTGTCTTATCTATGTTTTCAGGGAACTTTGCTGTACTCCCCTGCACGCTGGTTCCTTGCCCAGCCGGACCTAGGGACCATGGTGAAAGCCATTAGCCCTAAAGGTCACTGCAGGGGGAGGTGCAGCAAGATGGCAGCTTTTCCTTCACATAAGAAACATGTTTACGTTTGGATAGTTAAGGATTAGGCTGTGAGTACTCTTGCCCTTGTCTTCTGCTTTGGATGGGCCTATATGGGGGTGGGGGAGGACAGGTAGCTTGGAGGTAATGTTATTCAGCACAAAGGAAACTTGGACAGCAGGGCCAAGAGGAAGCAGCTTTGATGCTCCGGTGCTGACTCGGCGGATTCACATCCCAAAGCTGAGCCACCTTTGTAGGAAGTCAGGGCTCATATACACTCTCAGTTTCTACAAGGTTCCGGGTGGGTTTGCATTGGCAGCTGTTCATGGTCAGATAGGACGTGGCTGCATTCCAAGAGGTGAGTTGTACACCAAGGAGTGTCGGGAGTCAGTAGTCATGGGACCCCCCAGGTCCATCCTGCCTCATGGTTAACATCTGACAAGATTCCTACCAGAAACTAACTTGCATCCCAAGAACTGAGCAAAAGGTGGATACTAACTCCCCCAGGCTGCTTTTCCCGGTCACCAGCTTCAGAGAGCCCAAGCGAAACTGCTGTGTCTCAGGGTGTGTTGGGAAGAAAGCAGGCCAAGGGCATCAGATGGAAGCAGGCTTTATTGGACGAATGCCTGTGAGGGGCGATTCTCCGTGGCTGCAGAGTGAGACTCGGGACTTGAACTGGGGAGAGCGGGTCTTTATGGGGCGCGTGCGGCGGGCGTCCCTACTGCCAGAGGGGTCTCGGGAGTGTTTACTGCTGTCAGCTTCTCTCTAGTTCAGCTTATCACAGGTTCCCTGGCGCCGGGTTGTGCGGGTTTACGAGGGACCTGGGGGTGCTCTCATCGGGGTGTATTTATCTTCCACCTACACAGCTGTCAAACGCTGTCCAGAGTGGCTGCGCCGTTTCTGGTTCCTCCGGCACAATATCGCTTGCTTTGTGCCGGCCATGCCCTGACGGCGCGGAGATGCTCCTGTGTTCAGAAAGTCGTGTGCACTTGCCTCTGTGGTTGGCAGGTGCACCCCAAAATGATTTTTGTGTATGCAGTGAGGAGGGGCTCAGCCTTCTCCCCTTCAGCCCACCGTCTCATGGGCTCTGCCCCATTTATTTATTTATTTATTTATTTTTAATATTTATTTCTTTATGCATACAAGAGCTGAGGTAAAGCCAGAGATGCGGGAGGTGAGAGGATTCTCCAGAAGCAGAGCAGGGAACAGAACAGGTAGACGGACCGAAGTACACTGCCGAGGGGAGCAGCGGGGAGGCAGGAGAAGTCTGCTGCGCCATGTGGGTTGCTCCCTGGCCAGGCGGGGATTGAACCCATGCTGCAGAGGCTGCGAATTGCTCCATCGTGCGCCACCAGGGAGGCCCTCAGCACCATTTTGTAAAGCCCGCACTTGCCCTGTGTGGCTGAGTCTCGGGCTGGCCGTGTGTCCCGGCATCGCAGTGTTTCCCTTCCCTGAGCAGCACAGTGTGCGCAGAAGACATTTGTTCGTGATCCCCAGGAGACTAGGGGGGTGCAGAGAATGCGGCCTCACCTGCCCAGTTCTCATGTTCGCTAGCACTTTCCACCCTTCTCCGCGTGGGGAGGAGCACTTCAGCCTCAATGACCAACTTACACGGTTCTCCGTGCATTAAAACCCCCTTAGACAGCGTCAGTCAGTGTTGCCTTTAAGGCCACGCTTTCGCGTTCCCTGGCTCTCCCGCTGCCAGGCCTGTGACCACAGGGCGTGTTATTTGAAGCAGGAGAGGTGCAGACGGTGGTGGGGGGTGTGGGGGGACAGATAGCAGGTTGGAGGACAGCACCCAGACCACCCCCTTCCTCACGGCGTCCCTCTTGTACCCGAGCTGCCTGAGGGTTTCCTGCTCCTGAGGCCTGGGGTGCGTCTCATGCCCTCATGTCCTTTCTCAGTCACCCCACTTTGCCTTCACATAGTAAAGGCAACCTGCACCCCACCTGGATCTCAGCTTTGAGGCCAGCAGACCCTGTCCTGGGACACGGTCAGGGCCTGGGCAGGATCTTGAGTGCCTAGGGTGGAGTGGGGGAGTAGGGTGACCTTGGCTGGAGGAAATGTGCCACTCATGGGGTTCTCCTGCACCCACAGGTCCTGACTCTGAGGAGCAAGAGCATCCAGGGAAGGAGGAAGAAGACCCGGGACCCCAAGATCAGCCTTTGACCGAAGACTGAGATTCGGGCAGCAGGTGGAGCAGACCCGGAGCACACGCTGGGGAGCAGCTCGTGCGGCGGGTTCTGAGGCCTGGGCGTGATGGAGGTGCCTTTGCTTTGTTTTCTTCTTTTGTTTGTTCCATGTTTGTTTTGTTGAGTCCCCAGGACTAGGGCAGAGACGAGAGGACAGAAACGAAGGTTCCCAGCACAGGCTGGGGGACACAGGGTTGAAGGCCCCACGCCCCCTGGCGAGGTGGGAGCAGCAGGTAGAGGCCTTCCCTCCAGACTCGGTGCCTGCCCTGCCGCATGGCCGTGAGTCTGGAGGCCTCTTGAGAAGTGGTAGCGCTGAAGAGTAGGCACCGCGACAGCAGGACCTGAGAGAAGTTAACTGAGTTGTCAGGGTGGCGGGATTGGGGGTGAGCAGGGGGTCGGCGCTGCGGGTGCATCTGATGTCTCTGATGTCAGCCACGTGAGGAGCGTCCCTTCGTGGGATTTCGGGTTGGAGGGGGAGGTAGGTCCCTCCTGGTCTCTGCTTTGGGATCTTGTTTGTGTCCCTCCTGGAGGTGACAGGGTGTGGGAGCCTGAGGAACAGCTGCTCGTGAGAACGTCCTTCCAGGTCACCGGGCAGATCTCGCCTCCTGCAGTAGGAAACCTTCCTACTGGATGCCGGGTCCGAGCGCGAAGGCTCAGCCCAGAATGTCTTAGGGGGCATTTGCTTTACGTGATGCCTGTGCACGCGCCCGGGGGATCCAGTCGAGCCTAGAAAATGCACAGAGCAGAGAGCGTGTCAGGTTCCGCCCGTGTCCTCACAAGGCCTCTCACGCCCCCTGTGCTGTGCAGGCCCCGCTGACCTTCGCCGACGTGGCCGTGGGCTTCACCCCAGAGGAGTGGCGGCTCCTGGCCCCCGCGCAGAAGGCCCTGTACCGGGAGGTGATGCTGGAGACCTACAGCCACCTGGTGTCCGTGGGTGAGGACGGGTCCTGGCCCGGGGGCCTGCAGGCCCTTTCCTGCTGGGCCTGGGAAGGCTCTTGAGTGCGGGTGCTGTGAGGGGGAGGCTCTCAGTCCCCTTCTGCTCCTGAGAAGGGCTGTTCTCTTCTCCTGGGAGAAAAGCCTGTCCTGTGTGGGCGTGAGTGTTTGATAACAGGAGCGTCTGTGCATGGGTGGCCCTCGTGTCTGGTCAGGCACAGGCCCTGTACCACCTTTCTCGAGTGACAAGAGAATGTACCAGTATCTTTCCTTATTTACAGCAAACTTTTTAGCCACCTCTGGGTTGAGGCGAGTAGGAGGATTTCGGGGTCCTCAGCTCACCTTAGTCTGGTGGCTGCTGCCCGGGGCACGCCATGTTTACAGGGATGATACACTCAGTGGGCAGGAGAAGGGTGGAGGGTGAGTCAGCAGCCTGGTCACCCACAGATGATGATCTCATCAATCCTGGCTGCTTAGTGAAACCTGCCGAAAACCCAAAGGACAGGATTGAGGAGCATTGGAACCCTGAGAAGAGCTGGGAGAGTGGGGTGTCCCGTCAGCATGAATGCTCTACCCTGTCCTTGCAACTTCCACTGTTACTCTTCCTTGGGCATTTGCAGCGTGTTCTTTCATGATAAGCTGTCACCTGGGAACCAAACATTTCCTGAGTTCTGGACGATCTACCCGCAAATTAATTGGAGCTGAGAGGGCATCATGGGAACCTCTGGTCAATCAGAAGCTTAGTAAATGCCTCATTGAGATTAGTATCTCAACAGGGGGTGAGGTGGGGCTGAACCCCTAACCTGTTCCTTCCATTGCTTCCTCCAGGTGGTAATTGTCACACTGAGGTAAACTGTAGCACACTCTGACACCATCCATTGCTGTCACGGAATTCCTGGGTGTGTTAAAAACCCACACGACAAGGGCTGGATCCCCAGTCTGCTTCCCCTTTCTAATGTCAAAAGTGTTTGGTCCTCACTTATAACATCCCATGGTCGCAAACCCCTCAGTGTGTCTCTATCTGTCATGTCCCATGACCAGGTTACCAAGATTGCCGACCTGACACGTTCTCCAGGGTGGAAGGAGACGAACTGCCATGGACACCGGAAGCGGAAATGCAGATGTTCCCTAGCCCAGGTGAGTGAGGAGCAGCTGGGGCAGGTATAGAGACCTCGCCCCGAGGCCAGAGAACCCCAAGTTTTATTTATATTCATTTCATAGAGTCATCAGGAAAAAGTGATCTTCGTGGTGGTTTTCAAAATACCTTTATATGGGCCTCCCGGGTGCACAGCGGGTTGAGCACAGCGCTGTGATGCTGTCTGCAGCCTCTGCTGTGCAGATTTGATTCCCGGCCGGACAGGGAGATACCCACATGACGCGTGAGATCTCTCCTGTCTCGCCCCCTGCTACCCACAGCAGTGCTTTCGTTTTTTCTGCCTGTTATGTTTCCCCTCTGTTTCTGGTAAACACTCTCACCCTGCCATGTCGCTGGCCCCCATGTCGCTGTACCCCAATTCTTGTATAAATAAAAAAAAAATTAAAAAAATACAAAAATCAAAATATGATGATGATGGATTCATTGTTCTTTCTTTTCAGAAATCTCAACAGATGATGAGATAATTGAAGATTATCTGCCACAGCCATCACAGCTTGGGAACGTGGAGAACAAATCAGAACAATGCCAGAAAACCCAAAAAATAAAGAAACCTCACATGTACAGGGACTGTGGAAAAGCCTTCAGGAGGAAATCTCTGCTCAGTGACCACTACAACCTTCCCCCAGGAGAGAAGCCTCATCAGTGTGCTGTGTGTGGGAAAGCCTTTCGCAGGAAGGCCATGCTCTCTCACCACCAGAGAACACATACCAGAAAAAGAACCTATGACTGTACTGACTGTGGTAAAATCTTTCTCCACACATCAGCCTTCAAAAAACATCAGAAAATACATACAGGGGAGAAACCGTTTAAATGCAGTGACTGTGGGAAAAGTTTCATCCAGAAGGCAAATCTCGTTGTACATCAGCGGATTCATACAGGAGAAAAACCTTATGTATGCAGTGAATGTGGGAAAGGCTTCAGCCAGAAGCCATGCCTCATAGCCCATGAGAGATTTCACACAGGGAAGACTCCATTTCAGTGCAGTGTTTGTGGAAAATACTTTTCTCAGAAGACAGGTCTCATTAATCATGAAAGAATTCACACAGGAGAGAAGCCCTATGAATGCAGGGAGTGTGGGAAAGCCTTCACCACAAGGCGCAGTGTCATCGTCCATCAAAGAGTTCATACAGGAGAGAGACCCTATATCTGCAGTGACTGTGGGAAAGCCTATAGTAGAAAGTATGCGCTCAATGTCCATCGGAGTTCTCATCCAGGAGAGAGTCCCTTTACGTGCAGTGAGTGTGGAAAAGCCTTCCCTACAAAGTGTACACTCAATGTCCATCGAAGTTCTCATACAGGAAAGAATCGTTACACCTGCAGTGAGTGTGGGAAAGCCTTCTCTAGAAAGCAGCAGCTCATCGTGCATCAGCGGAACCCTGCAGGAGAGACACCCTGTGTCTGTAGTGAGTGTGGCGAATCTTTTGCCTATGTGGCTTGTCTTTTTCATCACATGCGAATACATCAAGAAGACTATGTGCAATTGGTCAAGGTGGAAAATCTCCCCACTGAGAGGCACACCACATCCCAGACCAGCCGTGTCCTGAGGGAAAGAAATATCGCCAATTCTGTCTCTATGCCAGTGTCTTCCGTGGCCCCTGAGACATCGTTAAATGTCCCTGGGCTCCTGGCAGATGAGAATGTGGTCCTAGTGGGCCAGCCTGTGGCCAGTGGCACATCCTTAGGAGACAACAGCTGGGTTGCATGGGATGGAAACCTCACGGATCCAGTGAATGTGATAGTACCTTCAGGGGTCCATTATGTCTTATGTTATGTTGTAGAAAACCAATAAGAGGGAACTCAGGGGCCTCCCCGGTGGCGCAGCAGTTGAGCGCTGGGCTGTGAAGCTGCGTGTAGCCTCTGCAGCACCGGTTCAATCCCTGGCTGCTCCCCGGCCACCAGAGGAGGGTCCCACATGGCGTGCAGACCTCTCCTGCCGCCCGCTGCTCCTCTCAGCAGTGTACTTCGGTCCTTCTGCCTGCTCTGCTCCCTGCTCTGGCTCTGGTGAATTCTCTCACCCTCCTGCGCTTCTGACTGTACCCAGTGCTTGCATAAATAAATAAATAAATCTTTAATTAAAAAAAAAAAAAAAGGAACTCAGACCTCATTGTGGGAAGCGGTGTGCTAAAGTTCTAGGTCACAGTATGTGAAAAGAATAAACTCTGCGAAGTCGTGTAAATGCAGCACCTGAGAAGCCTTCTGTACTCACCCTATCTATTAAATACATGCGTTGGCACCCAGTGGTACCCACTCATAGCCCCAGTGGTGTTAACCCATATGTGCACTCAGTTGCTCTGATGTGTCAGTTGAATCAAGGGAGTCTGAGTGATAGGTGATGTAGATGAGCTTTTAAAACAGGTAAGACCATCCATGTGTGGACTGTTATAAAATGCAAAACCTCACAAAGGCCATGATTGCAATTGCGGGTTGGATGATGTGTTTATATCCATCATGTTTCTGAAAGTGAAAGGTTGACTGAACGTAGAGTCATCCTTTAACTCCTAGGTTTCTGTCATGCAGAGAGACTTATGAAACTGCTTAGTTTGGTCAGCTCTTTCATTTTCCAAGTATTTCTCAAATCTACCTTTGTACCTGGTTCTGTTCCAGGAGGAAGGAATTCAGTGGTGACCAAAAAAGAACAAGCCTGTTGTCCTGAGCAAAGAAATGAAGTGGCTGTTGTTCCAGTGACTGCTTTACACTCCTGCTCCTCTAGGTGAAACATGTGGTCTTAGGCATGTTTTTTTAATTTAATTAATTAGTTAATTAATTTTTAAAAAGGTTTATTTATGTATTTGTACAAGCACTGCGTACAGTCAGAGGCACGGGAGGGTGAGAGAATTCACCAGAGACAGCAGAGAGTAGAACAGGCAGAGTGATGAAGTACACTGCTGAGGGAGCAGTGGGCGGCAGGAGAAATCTGTGGGCCATGTGGCACCCTCGCCCAGTGGTCGGGGATCGAACCAGCGCTGCAGAGGCTGCGGGCAGCTTCGCAACCCAGTGCTCAACCATTGCACAACCGGGGAGGCCCTAATTTATTTTTTTAAAGATTTATTTATGTATAGAAGAATTGGGGTACAGGCCAGAGGTGCAGGGAGTGGGTAAGAGGATTCACCATGGACAGGGTGGGGAACAGAACAGGCTGATCTACTGCTGAGGTGAGCAGTGGAGAGACAGGAGTGGTCTGCTGTGCCACGTGGTTAGCACTCTGGCTGGGGATGGAACTTGTGCTGCAGTGGCTGCAGATAGCTTCATAGTGCTAAGACTTAACCCCTGCGCCACCAGGGAGGCCTGGTCTTAGTTTTGTTGCAACCAGAGAATACCATAGCCTGGGTGGATTTGGGGACAAGTATATTTCTCACCCTTTCAGTAAGGGAGGTTTTTATCAAAACCTCCAGATACTTGGGTTTTTCAAGGTCCTATCTCCTGGTTCATGGAAGACACCCCCAGTGTCCTCACCTAGGGACAGCTCTCTCTCCCCTAGGCCATGCTTTGTACCATGTCTTCCAAGGAAAAAAATACTCCCTTGATGTGGGTTCCATCTGCTGACCTGGCCACCTCTCCCAAGCCCCACCTCATGCATTGGATTTGAGATTCTTACAACATTGGGTTTTGGGGAACACAAATACTGATTTCATGGGACATACAGAAAAGTTGCTTCAAGACTTAATACAGTTCTCCTGTCAGGGGACTTATTTCCAGGGTGAGGGATTCCGCGTAAGGGATTTGGAACACCTGAAAGTCACGTGTTTCGTTCTTTTTCATGTTTCATTCATTTTCATGTGTTTCGTTCATTTTCATGTTGTTTCACCAAGTAGACTACAAAAAAAAAAAAAATCCTTGCTTATTTCTATGGCTTTGAATATTTTATAAGCAAAAATATTTCCTTAGCTTCACGTAATCATATCTCAAAACTAAGTGAGTGTCCCGGGGAACAGTGGCTAAGTCAGGCAAGGGGCCAGAGTCTGTAGCTAATTAAATGGTTGAAGTGCATGTTCTCACCAAACTGCCCTTTACGTCATCCCTGAAAGGTATCTTTGCAAGTGCTGGTTCTGTGACTATTTCTCAACAAAATTTTATGTTGATTTGGAAAGTGAATGAGCACACGGCCTCAACTATTATTACTGATGGAATTGGCCTTGGGAAGGCGGTTCTCCTTGAGAACTCTGTCTCCCCCATATTGATGATTTCAGACTCAAGAACAGAATATAAACTGGGCAGAGCAGAAAAGGAAAAGCATCCTCAGAATACATAGATACCGGAATCTACTCCCTGAGAATGGAGGAAAACAGGAGATGGCAGGTGAGATCCCCAAACGTTATTCTGGGAAATTTTTGTCCCCAGGATTCCAGCTCCACTGTTAGGGCCTGAAGGGAGACGTACCTTCTCCTCTGTAGTCCTTGTCTCCTGGGAGTGCACCCCTGGGCCTGTCACTATTCTGCTTATTTCTCCTCACTTGTTCCCTGTCCATGAGACCTGTCCAAATTTTCCTGTGGGAAAAGACCTGGAAACTGTCCAAATCTTCCTGTAGATAAAGACCTGGTGGCTGTCTCGTCAGAAATCCTGGGTGATTGAGTAATGGCTTATCTGTTTTCGTGCACCATCTGTGTGCTTTACACTGTGAGGAGATATTGCATAAAACAGGCCAAGAATGGCCTTATACATGCTACTCAGTTTGAGAGAGAGTGAAGGAAAAGGAATCTAATGTGCAAGGAGTGACAAGTTCTGTGAAAAAGGCACAGTCCGGGGATGGATGGTAATGTGATCCGTACGTGTCACCAGACAACCATGCCCACCTCTGCACTTTTCTGGAGAATTAGAATTTGAACAAGAATGAAGAACATGGTCTCCCACCATAATTACTGTAGCCAGAGAATGCGGCAGGATGATTTTCGATTTTCTGCAGAGGCTTCCTGTCCCGGGTATTCTGTAAAACAAAAGAATGCAGGTTTCCGAGTCACCCCAGAACTTCTAAGCCAGAATGTCAGCACTGACGTCCAGGACACTCTTTCAAATGAGAGCCTAGTACCCACTTAGATTTGAAGATGGCTGCCTAAGTCCCCCATCATCACCCTCACTTTATAGCAGGATGACCCAGGCAGGTCCTGTCCCGTGAGGGGTCTGCCCTGAGTACCCCCGGCCAGCAGGTCTTATGTCTCCTGTTGTCCTTGTCTCATGTCATCCTGCTGCGGGTGTCAGCCTGCGAATTTCTGGGACTGGTCAGACCTGTGATGGCTGCCCTGAGCTCTGGGGGACACGTGCGGAATCCACCATTCAGAATTTGACACCCCAGGACTAGTAGCCCCTGTGTATGCCAGGTGCTACCAGCCTCAGTATATCTGGGCACACCTGCAAATAATGGGGAGTACCCTCCACGTGAGTCCTTGGCGCCACACTCAGGAACGAAGCACAAGCCCTGAAAGCGGAAATGGATTTTAATAAAGGGACGGGTGGAGAGTACATTGGCCAGGAAAGGACGCTGCTGGTAGGGCTGCAGGACTGGGCTGTGAAGCCACAGGAGCCCCCTCCCTGCTGTCCCCACCTGCCTCTGCTGAGCAGTGAGCAGGGCACTCTGGGGAGAAAAAGAAAACGATGAGCCCAGAAACAACTGTAGGGCAACCTGTTGTGCTGCTCCCTCTGCCTTCCCAAGGCTGCTCCCTCTGCCTTCCCAGCCTCCCCCCACGCCGTCCAGTTCGTGGCATACGGGGGAGCTGGGCTATGCAGGTGGGCTGTGGAGGAGGAGGTGACACCTGCCCCTGGGCCGCAGTGGCCCTCCCTGGCCTCACAGGACATCCCGTAACACCAGCTTCCAAACAGGAACCACCCTCACCTGCTTCCCCGGGCTGCGGCCCAGCGCGGGTGGGCTGGGACTGTGTCCTGCTCGCACTGCACGAGGAAGTCAGTGCCCAGCGTCCTAGTCCTCTGCTGGGTCCGCGGCCCCGCGACAGGTGTCTGCAGGGTTGGATTTAGTCTGGACTGTCGGGCTCCTCGCACCCCGTGGTGGCAAGTCTGCCCTTTCTCCACTGACAGCTTGTGCCGGCGGCGAGCGCCTGATCTCTGCGTCATTTCCTGGAATCTGCTCCACTGAGGCCCTGGTAGCGCCTGGGTGTCAGAGACCCCGGGGAGACACATCCCCAGGGGCGGGGCTCCAGGGGAGGCCGGGAGTGGGCGGGGCTCCAAGCTGTTGAGAAGTGGGCGTGGCTTCCAGGCTCCGCCTCACGGGCGGGGCTTACGGGGAACGAGCGGGGCTGAGGTTGGCGCCGCCTGGCGGTGGGACTTCATGGGGCTCCGGGCTTTTGGCTGCAGGTGCCCGGGGCCTGGCGCCCGCTTTCCAGGCGCCCCTCAGTCTGGTCTCGGTCTCCGCTCAGTCCGTCGTCTGGAGGAGGACAGGGGCCCCTCCCTCCGTCTCCGCCCCTCCGTCTCCGTCCAGGGCCCTGTGTGAATCCTCGTCCTCATTCCTGTCTCAAACGAGCTTCTGCTCTGGAGCGCGTCCCGCAGTCAGGCCTCCGAGGGTGAGGACCCACCGAACAGGTCAAACCTGTTCCCCCGGGATTTGTCCTGGGTCACTGGAAGGGGAGGCGGAGCGCAGGTGTAGACACAAAAAGTGAATTCTGGGGGATGACATATATGTACTCTGCTGAACTGGCCGAAGATAACTAGAGCGCCCACGTCTACCTTGTGATGCGGGACAGTCTGAAAAGGTGCTTTTTCTGCAGGAGGCCGGGTGCTGGGAAAGGTGCTCACGGCGGCCCTTTCTCGCTGCCCACTTCGGGCTCCTGGCCCCCAAGCTGTCCCCGCGGTTCCGTACACCCGTTTTCCAACATGGCTGCCGCCGGGTCACGCGCCCTGGGCGCAGACATACTGCTCTTGCGCCCCGCGGGAAGCGCAGTCGGGGGCCGTTCCAGGCCTTTGGTCCTCCGCGGCCGCCGTAGGCGCGGGCTGGGTCCCGGGACCGCGCTGCGGCAGCAGGAGACCCCAGGAAAGCGGGATTGGGCCCCGCTGGTGGGTGTCAGGGCGCGGGTTGGGGCCTGAAGTTCGGTTTTCAAAGTGGAGATTTGTGTTGTGACGCGGAGAAACGGGGCGCGCTCTGTCCGGTCTTGGGATGGGGGAGTCGGACGGTGGCGCCGAGCTGGAGGCGGCTGCTGGGGGTTTTCGGGATCCCAGACGCTCCTTTGCGGGGCTGGGGATCCGGGGTCCTGTGGAGGTCTAAGGGTCATCGCCCTGGTCTCCGCGTTGGGGTGCAGTGCTGTTTCCAGGGAAACGTGAGTAACTCGAGTTTGGGGACCCCCTTGAGGTTCCTGGGGTGTCGTGGGGCGCGGTGCTGCTGCTGAGGCATACTGGGGGTCTGGGGTGATAAGGGGTGTAGTGAGGGTCGTGAGGACGCCCGCATCCCCGGCTGGGACGGAGGTGGGGCTCCCCGTGGCGTCATCAGGAAGCAACTCTTCAGCTTTATCGGGGCTCCCGGAGGGGGACTCATCGGCGACGTATGGGGTTTGGATGCTTTCGCCCGTGTGATAACGCTGCTGTGGCCGCAGAGTCCCACCGTGTCTATCTGTGGATAACGTGCCCCGGCAGGAGCTGCACCCCCACTTTCCTCCTTTCTAAGGGGCATTTTGCTTGGTGTCCGCCCATGCGGAGGGGGCTGTACCCCGCGTTAGGAAGTCCTGGTGGGTGCGTCCATCGCGCTGGTTGCGAGCCCTCCACCGGTGAAGCCCTGAAAAATTTTCATCTGAGGCTGCACCCCAGCACCCACACATTTGATCTTCAGCACCATAGAAAGGGTGGCAAAAAGTGAAAGGAGGGAATTGTTGGGGGAAACGATGTCCTGAGCAAACTCCATACAGTTTGTGGACTCCACCCCCACTCCAGACCGAAGCCATCCAGACACTGGGAACTACGAATCCCATGACCAGGAAAGCGGGGCTGCCGGGACCTGAGGGTGGGGTTCAGCGGCCATGTCGGGTATAAGACCCGCCATGTGGGCCGGGGTCCCTCCATAGGCGCTTCCAGGCTCTCAGCGGCCACCGGGGTTCCAGGTCAGCGCACCGGTAGGACGCGTTCACGAGCTTCTCTCCCTCCTCCTCTCCCTGAGTTACTCATTTCCTCCCTTCCCCTTCTTCTGTCCCTTTTAAGCGCGGTGGGGGCCCGCAGGCGGGCGCCCGGCTCACGTCGGGGTTGCTCCGGAACAGTTTTACTTGACAAGCACTAGGCGGCTAATCCGCGCGCCGCAGGGTGCTGTTCTGTCCCGCCGGCCGCGCTTCCTCGTGACGCTCGGGTCTCTGAGAAGCTGCCCTTTCCCGCAAGAGAGAGAGTTCTGGGCCACGAGAGCAACCCGCTGGCTCCTCGTCCTCGCCGCCGTCCTGGCGACCGGCTCCCAAACCAGCCCCTGGCTTTTTGTACGTCAGGTGTGCCAACATGGCCGCCCGCAGGGCTCGCGGCGCACGGGCGCAGACATATTGGCTCCTGAAACCGTGCGGGGAAGACGTTTGTCGCGTTTCTTCAAATGCGTTTGCGCCTCTTCGGCCACTGTACGCTGATGGTAAATACGCGCGACTTCTGCTGTAGAAGCCGTTCACGGAAGTGTTCTCTTTAGGCGCTCGTGGGCCTGGGAAGAAATCGGGTCAGTATCTCTTGTCCCTGCAAGTGTTTTTGTTGCTTTGGTTTTGTTCTGTTTTTCCATGGGGCTTTGTCTTTCACTGGCGACCGGAGGGGGGAATTATTGGCGCGTTGGGGAAGGCCTGGGGGGTCGGCAAAAAAGACTGAGGTTCGGCAGACGCCGGCGACCCTGCCCCACGTCCGGGGGCGAGGTCTTCGCGGGTCGCCCTGTAAGGCAGCGGGCGCATCCCCGGCCACCGTGTGCCTGGGTCCGGTTCGGGCTTAACGTGGGGCTCAGTGAAGTTGGGGTGGGGGTGGGTGACCGTCATAGGGGAGTGTCCACCCCGGGATTCGGGTTGATAAGCAGGTGGATCGTCAGGGAGGTGACTTGGGCAACATGGGGCCCACTCGGACCTTGGTTCCCAGTACCTCCAGTTCATGGATTCAGGGCCCTTTGCCGTTGATTTGGGGGTGACGCCACGCTCTGACTGGTGGGTGGTGCAGAGAGGCTTGTGCAGACGCCTGGGACCCCGGCTGGTGTGTGGCCTGAGGGGGTACAGCCGATTCTGTGGTTTGAAGCATTCTGGGTTAGCCTTTTCTCGAAGGGCTGATTGACTAATGCAGACACGCCTCCTGTTAGGCAAAGTTTTTTTTTTTTTTTTTAAGATATATTTACTTATGCATACAAGAACTGACGCACAGGCCAGAGGTGGGGGGGAAGGGGTGAGAGGATTCACCTGAAACAGAGTGGGGCACAGAACAGGCAGACTGACTGAAATACACTGCTGAGGGGAGCAGCAATCAAGACGGTGGAAGTCTGGTCCGCCTTGTGGGTAGCTGCCTGGTGGGCGGGAGATCAGTCTGGTGCCACACTGGTTGAGGATTGCTTCACAGTGCTGTGCTTGAGACCTTGAGCCCCAAAGTAAAACATGTGACATATCTATTCCTTTGCAGAAAATGTTTGTCAGCCCCTGCTCGCCCTTCTTAACATTCAGCTGGGAGCTCTCGCTTACTCCCTGACGAACTTTCACACAGCTTTGCTAACAGAATCTCCCTTTTGTTTCCTGTTTCTCCCTCTGGTCAAGTGACTTGTGTTCCAGTTTCCTGGTAAGTCCTGGTGTTTCTGTTACAGGAGAAGGATGTCCTGAGCAAACTCAACAAATAGGTTTTATGGACTCCACCCTCACCCAGACCAAAGCAATCCAAGACACCAAGGACCACAAATCCCATAATGCCCTCACCACCCAGGGGAGGATTGCTAGGAATGGAGGGTGGCGTTAAGCCCCCAGGCTTGGTATATAACCAGACATGGGGGCCTTGGGGGCCTTGGTTTTTCTCTCTTTCAGCGTGCTCTTGGGGTTCCAACTCAGCAGAGCTGGTAGGACACATTCACCAATTTATCTCTCTCTCCCTGAGTTACTCATTTCTTCATTTCCCTTTTTTTTTGGTTAATGAACTCTTTACGAACCTTTGTGTGTGCCTGTAGTTGAGTCTCATTTTAAGCTCCTTTTAAGTGCGCGGGTGAGGACTCACAGTCAGGCAGCCTGCTGCAGACAGGACAGCCAAGTAAATTCCCAGCCATTAACGAAGATTCAGAGTCTAAATGAATTTGCAAGTGGGTGGGGGAGGCTAGGGAGAGCCATTGAGAGCAGCTCTGCCTCTCACTCTCCCAGCACAAGCTTTCATCAAAGATATGAACAAAGGAACAAGGAAATAACACACAATTGTGTTTTTACTTATGCAGATGAATGAGTTACTGCTCAAAATAAGATTTCCTGGTTAGTGGGGAACATGCATAGAAGCCAGCACGTCCTCAGAGAACAGTAGTCAATTCTGGGAAGAAGTTCTATTTGCAGAACTTCTAACATCCTGGCACTCCATGTGCAGAGTGAACAGGTGCTCTCCAAAACTCCAGCTCCCTGCAAGGCAGCAGCTCCCAGCAGCAGCCCATTTCACACTGGGGTTGCCTGTAACAGTCCCAGCTCCTGCTGCCCGTGCTGGAGTTAAGAGCGTGGTGCAATCCTAGCCAGGTGTGCACATGTGCACATTTTCTTGGTGATTTCTGGGGGAGCTTAGCCTCTTAAATAACTAAAGACTGTGATAAAGTTTTTGGAGTGTGGGGTCCTTGGGTTCACTCTGGGAAAGGTTTCACCAGAGCTCCTGTTTCAGCGATACACAGCAAATTTCTCCACGAGACAGAGACAGTACTTATATTTGAAAAGCAGGTTTATTAGAAATGGG